GAAAGGTTTGGGTCCTAGGTTGTAGGCACCCCTCAGGATGAGGGAATTATGTGGTCACTAGGTACTTGAAAGGGCCATCAAGAGGGAGAAGGGAGAGAACAAGAAATAGGGCTGAAGAGATCCCAAAAGGCAAACCTTGTTCTATCTGAGAGACTCTCCCACGTGCCTTAGTGGAGTTAGCAGGGGCAGCATCAGTAATGCACAGCCATGTTTGAACTCAGCACAGGCTGGGGGGTCTGGAAAACTGGCCAGCGGGGCTAAAACCCAGGGTCTGAACACAGTTGGTGCTCAGTAATGCTTGCTGAATTGGACTGTCATTCTTCAGCCTTGCTCACAGAACACCAAAGTGGATTACCCTGGTGATTGGATCCATTCCCCCACGACAAATATTTGGCTCTCTTTTATCACAGAAAGAGCCATAAATATGTTTTTCTTTTTACTTAGGCTTCTGAGAAGCTCAGTCACCATCTTAGCCTAGGTTTCAGCTGCTGTTTTTATTCTGTCCTGCCTCCAGTAGGATCATGTGGCATATGTGGCTATTGTCTGAGCTGCCTCCACACCTTTCTGGACAGAGTTGTAAATTCTAAAGCAATCAATAAGTAAAATCCAGTGTTTCCTAGCTTCTTCTGAGGAGGTCCACTGGCTCCTTGGATCTTTTACTTTTGTTTATTGCCTGTCTGGCCACACTGACTCCTGTGCTTGCATGGAGACACTGCTGCTGAATGAAGCAGTGCATTGGTTCTATACCATCTCTGAGGACTTCGGTTGGGCTGTGGCTGAGATCCAGTGAGGAGATCCAGAAGGGAGTGGAAGAGCAAGGGTCTGGTGCAGGGTCTGGTGCCTGTCTTGTACCTCCTGGAGCTCAAGGGAGGCTGGACTCTGAGCTGAGCTGAAGACAAGAACCATGATTCTCTTGTTCACCGCTAAGTCACCAGCACTCAGAAGAGCTCAATAAATACATATTGAAGGAATAGACCAAAAACCTAGTGAACTGAGGGCTTGAGGGTAGTGGGACCTCTGCCTAGGAATGGCCCTGTCCCCTCTAGAACTCCCACTATCCCATATTCTGCCCTTTGATCTCCAAAATTCATACTGATTAGCCTGAAACCTCAGTTTGAGCTGGTGACAAACAGGACTGGTGGTCAGCTGGGCATGCCAGGACCCACACTCCTAAGGGGGCCTATGCCTTTTTTCTCTGAGTATTTTGGCCAGGATGTGTGGGGTGGCTGGAGAGGGTAGGCCAGACAACCCGGCTGTGTCCTTGGGAAAGGCCCTTAGCCTCTCTGGGTGGGAGCAGAGGAAGGGCCTGGACATCAGAGGACTCAACTCTTTCCCTTTGGTCTCTTTCTGGTTCTGAAAGTTCTTCACGTGCAACTTGCTGTGGCGCTAAGCTAGAACCCCACGTTTGCTGGGCCAGATGTGGGTGCGTACCTCTGTGGATGCATGTGTGCATGCTGTGTGTGGTGTGCTCCCAAGCGCCTGGGTGCAGTGCATGTGCACGTGGTGGACCTGTGTGAGTTCCACGGAGCTGTGTTGGGGTTTGGGTGTGCTGCTCATGCACGAGTGCAGGACTGCACCACCAGCACATGCTCCTACTCCTCTGCCAGGTCTCTGTGGCTCCTGGAAGCAGCAAGGAGCAATGCTTCTCTCTCCATTCTATAGCTGGGGAAACAGGTTCAGAAAGGGATGAGACCCACCTAAAGGAGTGGCCAGTAATGAACTGTGAACCCAGCTCAGAGCCAGGATGGGGGGACCCCGAGACTAAGCTAGAAGTTGCATGCTGGGGGCAGGGCCTCCAGTGGCTGGGCTCTAAGTTCACCCTGGCTGATTTGTGGTGAGCATCATCCAACACGGATGTATAAGGTATAAACTGTAAAGCACTTGACTTATTGTACAGGGGCAACTGAGGGCAGGAGGGTGGCTGCGGAGGGGTCAGTGCCCACAGGCAACAGAGGGTCTGAGTGCCCTGAGATGCAGGGCTTCAACCTTGGACATCCCTTCTTCCCACCAGGAGCCTACACCCAGGGCTGAGCCAGGAGATCTCGAGCAGGAGTTAATCCTCTAAGGCTTCCACCGCCTCTTATGTAACTGCTTTTGTTCCTGGAGAAAATTGAGATCCTGTAGTGCCCAAGAACCCCACAAATCTCCTGCAGCATCTGAGCCAGCTTGGAATTGCCAAGCTTGGGAAAACAAGGCTTGTGGACTAGCTTGCAGGGCTCCCCAGGGGTGGGCATAAGTGTGTAGCACGTGCCGAGATGCACACACGAGCAAACACATGTGTGAACAAATATATACACTCCACAGCCACTCACGTGGACACACATGTGCACATACACACGTTGGTGCGATTCCAAGCACATGCACCCCTGCGAATACATGTTCATCTTCCAGGTCAGGCCCACATGGCTGACAAGCCCCCAGACAGACATGTTTGTACCCAACATCCATTTAGGGTTCCTGTAGTGGATTGAATTATGTCCCCCCAAAACTCCCTGAAGTTTGAATTGTGTCCCGCAAGTTTTATGTATTAGAAACTTAGCTCCCACTGTGACTGTTAAGAGGGTGGGAAATACTCTTAAGGTAATTGAAAGGTAAAGCCTTGAAGAGGTGATTGGATTGTAGGACCATGCAGTAGTGAATGGATTAAAAATGGTGATCAGGGGTGTGGTTCTGAGGGCTTTAGAAAGAGGAGAGTCTGTCTCTCTCTGCTCTCTCTGCTTCTACTGTCTTGCAATGTGAGAGCCCTGGGTCACTGTCGCCACCACCAGATGAACTTTGGACTTCGCAGACTCAGAAACTGTAAGCAATAAATTTCATTTTTCTTTATAAATCACCCAGTTTCAAATATTTTGTTATAAGCAACAAGAATGGACTAATACGGTTCCCATCTCTCCCAGCTGGAGCCTGGGGTGGGGGAGGGGTGGCCCTCACAGTTGCCTCAGGGCTACGCCTTCTCCTCGCAGAGCAAGCTTTCCCAGGCCTCCCAGCCTGGTCCCTTCCCATCTCTCCCTTATCACCTTCTCACCCCAAGGACAGAGGAACGGCCCTTCCTGTCAGCTGACTGCCTCTGGTTGGGAGCAGAGGTGGCTTTATCTTTTCTGAAGAACGGATTCCATGGAATTTCAACTTATTTTCCATCAAGGGTCAAGGGCCTGCTCTGGAGGCTGCCTCAGGGCCCCATGAGTATGAGAAGGCTGGTTTTCATGTGAGCATGTAACAAGCCCTTTTTCCTAGAGAGCGCCTGCAAGTTTGCAAACTGCCTCCTTGCCAGTGTCTTGCTTGCTCTTCATGACATCCCTGAGATCTAGGTGCTTTTATTTCCTCCATTTGACAGATGAGGGAACTGAGGCCCAGAGAGGGATGAGACCTGCCAGAGGTTGCACAGCAAGTTGAGGTTGAGTTGACCAAAACTCTCCTGAGCTTGGGCTGGGAGAAAAGTACTTTTGGCCTCCTGGGGCTTAGGGTACGAGAATCTGGCTAGTCAGAACTGAGAGGATGGGGCAGGCTGGGACTACCAGGTGGGCCCAATGCCAGAGCACCTCACACTCCTTCACCAGGAGCTGATTGAGGACATGCCAGCACCCTCACAGGCCAGCGCTCTGCTGTGAGACTCAGCCCATAATTTACCTTTGTGAGCATGTCAGAGGAGAGGGCAGGAGGGGAGCAGGAATACCTCCACCTTGCTGTGTGACCCAGCACCCTCTCTGGGCCCAGCACCCTCCTCTCTACAATGGGAAATTGGGCTTGGTTGGAGGATGTGCTCCTTCTCTGAGCCTGCAGAGGGCTTGCCCAGGGCCAAGAGTGGAAAGCAAGCTCAAGATGCTCCATGACAAAGCCCTGGCAGTCCTGAGCTGCAGCCTGTGCCCAGGGAGCCCTGGCCTGTTGCTGAGATCCACCAAGGCAGGGCCTGGCACTGAGTGGGGGGGGGGGCTCAGGGCTTGGGGCAGGGTCTCCTCCAGGCTGAGCAGGCTTCTCCAAAGAGAGTCAGGAGGTGGTGTTGGGAGAAGGGGATCCAGCAAATCCAGGTGGTGTCTGGCCAGCCTATCTGAGATTGCAGCCCCCTGACTGTCTGCCCCTTACCCTCGTTTGTGTTTCTCTATAGCTCTCATCGCTACCTGACCTGCTATGTATTTACTCACTAACTAAAATAAACTAGTCTCCCCGGTTGGAAGGGCGGAGGACTTTGTTTAGGGCACTCAAGTGTCTTGAACATTACCTGAACAGAGTAGGTGCCCAATAAGTGCTTATAAAAAAGAGGAAGAGGAGGAGGAGGTGGAGGAGGAGGGGGAGAGGAATAATCTTACAGATGGGTAGGGGCTGGTCCAGGCCCATCATGGGCCTGAGGCAGAGTCACTCTGGCTTCCTTCTCATCAAGCTCAAGCTCAAGGATGCATTGGAGCTGGGGAGGGGATGGTAACCTGGGCTCAGCCTTTTCCCCCTAATCACCCTCGGTCTGAGGAGCCATTCTCAGTTCCTAGGATGGGGGTGTCTGGACCCATGGGGTCAGAGCCACAGATGACAGACCCCGTAATCTTGAGGTATCAGACTCTTAATGGACCTTCCAGGCACTGCTGAGAAAACCAGGTCAATTGTTTCTGTGGCAGCAATGAGCAGAAACAGGGCTGTCTCCAGACTTGAGAGAGGAAAGGAGAGGACTGGGGTGGGGGTGGGGGAGGAGGAGAAAAACGGTCATTGGAGAGTGCCTTCCCCATGCCAGACCCTGGTCCTTAAATGGTATCACACTCATTGATCTTCCCAACAGCCTTGGGGCTAAATTGATGATAACCATTCTTTGGGTGAGCAAACTGAGAGGGTGAAGAGACTTGCTTGCAGGTGGCTAATGGATAGTGGCTGAGTCAGCCTTGCTGTTAGGGGCTTGAGCTCGAAGGTTCTCAGAGTCCCAGCCCTGCCGCTTACCAGCTCTGTGCTGCAGCAAGTTACTTCCCCTCCTTGGATTTCTCATCTGCTGCCTCCCCAACTTCAGCGAGACATTGCACGCAACAGTTGGAGGCATAGGAACTGACTAGCGGTAGGGGCTGCTCCAGGAGTCAGAACTTGCTCTAGCACTTCAGGAACCTGCAGGTGGGTGCTCGTTAACTCTTGGGTGAGTTTCCTGGGTTGATGCCCTGGGTGTGCCAAGCCCCTATCTCCTCTAGAAGCTTCCTGAGTGTAGCCACTGTGGCTTATGGTAGGCTGCAGCATGGGGGTCCTCTTCCCGTCCTCCACCTAGTTGCATCTAGAGCCTTCAGCCTGCTCAGCATGGAGGGGTGAGGCACACAGGACAGGAGGGGAGGAGCTGGAGACATGGGACTGGGCTGCACCTCAGTGGAGGAGTGGGATATTGAAGGCAGGATTCTGAGCCACATAGGTCTGGGTTTGAATTCCGAATGGTGCAGGACACCTTCCCCTCTGGGCCTCAATCTCTTACTCTGTGAAATGGGGATAGCAATGATCTCCCCCTGTTTGAAAACTGTTAAGTGTAATATGCTGGTGAGGGTCCCTCAGGGAAGAGGCTGGGCCCTGTCTTCAGAGCCCCCCAGGAACCCTGGTAGTTGGGATGGGTAGGAAGGATTAAGTGACCAATGGCAGTCCACAGCAGACACCTTTGGGAAGCCTCTTACTTCTGCCATCCCAGCTAAATCTCAAGACCTCCTGGAGCTGACCCCATGTGACTGGTGGGGCAAGTGAGTCCCTGAGTCTGGGTGTGACTTGTAAGGGGAAGAGATGCTGGGTGAATAAGTGTATCTGGGGGAGCAGGATTAAAACTTTTCTGGATTTCAATTTCCATTCACCACAGGGAAAACAGGCAGCACAACCTGTGCGTTCAGCCATAGCCTGTTAGAAGATATTTGGGGTTCACATCTCTTGCCAGTTCTACAATGGGTCCTAAGCCAGTTCAGGGACAGTCTCTCAGCCCCTCCATATCAAATGGGATAAAAAATGAGAAGGCTTTTCGCAAACTATAAAGTGTTGTGCCTCTGATGGTGCACCTGTATGTGTGTGCAGGCCCTTGGGTGTGTGTGCATGAATGAGAACGTGTGGCTTGTGTGTGTGCAATGTGTGTGTCTGGGCATGCTCTCCAGGCCTGGCTGGGTGGGGGTAACTCCATACTGTCCAAGACTATTTGGCTGGGGCTTTTCTCTCCTAAGATTTTTACAATCTTTTTTTGCATTTCCTCACTGTTTTGTTAGTTTACCAGAAAGGGAAGGGGCCGTGGTCCGGAAACCTAGCAATTGTCTCTGAACCTGCCGACTCTTCTCTCCTGCCCTTGCCTCATCCTGTGGCTGTCCCTGGAGACCCAGCTGCCTGGAGCTTCCAGAATAGCTGAGTCTGCAGGGCCAGAAGCTTGCCTGGCTCCTGCATGTGGCTCACGCCCCCACCCCCATCCCTGGCAGGCTCCCTGCTGGCTGCTATCACAGCATTGTCCCATTGACTCTTTATAACGTCCCAGCCCTCCAGAGATGTTATCATTGTTCCATTTTACAGGCAAGGCAATGAAGGCTCAGTGAGGGGGGAATGGTTTTCCCAGAGTTACCCAGACAGCGAGCAGCAGTGCTGGGGTTTCAGCTCCTACCTAACTCCAAAGACTTTATTCTTAACTGCTGTGGTCTACCTAGTGGGCCTGTGCTGGCTGGTTGGCTGAATGAGTAAATGAATAAAAGAGCAAGTGAATATCTCAAACAGTCAGAACTGAGTTGAAAGAGAAGGTTAAGCAGTAATGACAATGGCTGTCATTTATTGAGCACCTATGATGTGCCAAGTGTTTTAATACAAGTGAATGCAGCGAGGATTGCTGTTATCCCCATTCTGCAGATGACCAAGTTGAGGCTGAGAGAAGGTAAAGCATCTTGTCCAATTATAATATGTCAGACTCCAGACCCATTGCTCTGAACCCAGGCTTTTCTGGTTCCCTAGAGGAGGGGTGAGTCAGCAGACCCTGGCAACAGATGCCTTTTCCAGCAGAGGATGTAGGGCAAGTCAAGATTTTCAGGAAGTTCGGTCCACAGAGCCCCACTGCATGACACCCCATGCCCTGGGGCTATTTCCCTATTTGTCTCTGAAGTGGGTTTCTATTTCAGTCTGATGTGGGGATCTGGCAGCCCAAACTCTGTCTCTTTCTCTGTGACTGTTGGCTTGTCTAGTTAGGGCCAATGCCCTGGCCCAGGCATGTGGAGGTGTTTTCCTTTTACCCCTGCCCCAGGGAGAACCTGTCATTGACAGCTCCGTGGGAGGGCAGGGCCTGTGCAAGATGCAGTTATTGGTCTATGGAGATGGCCTTGGCAGGGTCAGTGGCCTCTGTGCACAGTCTATGCTAGATGCCAGGGACCCAGGAGCTCATAGGTCCAGCCCTCCCCTTAGGGACTCATGGGCTGGGTACTGAGACCCAAGAGGATCAAGTCTGCAGTAGACACAGAGCCTGGCATTCTGACTCCAGTTCAGTGCTTGTTTTCATGGCCTGGGATGGAGTGGGAGCTATTCTGTGGTACCAGGAGGCAGATCTCAGCTCAGAGTGAGGGATAACATTGTCTCTGTCATGCCGGAGGAATGGGAACCAGACATTCAGATCAGCCCACAGTTTCCGAGTGCCTTGTACCTTCTATTGGGAAGCGGAGCCACAGTGGGGATAGACTCTGCACAGGGGAAAGAAATCAGATTTTGAAATCAGAGCTGGTATGACAGGCATCAGCATTTGCTGGCTGTGTGATCTCAGGCAAGTTATTTAACCTCTTAGAATCCCAGTTTCCCCATCAGTAATTGGGATAATGGAACCTACCTGAACAGTTCATGGGGTGGATAAAATAAGATCATGCATATAACATTACTTGTAGATTTTTAGGAAGTCTTAGTTCACTTTTCTCCTCACCCTGGAGAGCCCTTAATCTGAGGGGAGAGGAATTCCCTTAGGCAGCAGCCAGTCTGACGGTTGAGGCAAGAGACGAGACCTGTAAGATGTCAGGGTCTACCCTACAGATGCACCAATAACTGATGTTACGGTACACAGTCTCATTTCTCATGCCCTCGCATTGGTCCCCACCATGCTTCTATGGACATGCCTCCACGTTATGGAAGGGAAATAGAGGCAAAGAGAGACTAACATTTAGCACGGGATGCCTCTCTCATGAAAAATTGCTGAAATAAAGCAGATAATAGTCAAAAAAATAGAAGTCCCCAGCCTAGGTCTCCTGACCAAGCTAGAAATCTCCCCTTCCGACTCCTGGATTTGTTGAGATTCATGGAGGACTTGTTTTGTGCCAGGCCCATACCGGCCCTTTAGTATAGATTTATCTTACAATAATAGCAAATCAAAACCACAAAACGAACAAAAAAAACACCATGCCAGAAAATAACAAGTGTAGGTGAGAATGTGCAGAAGCGCAGCGTTTTGCAAGACCGGTGGGAATGTAAATGGTACAGCCTCTGTGCGAAACAGTATGGCAGTTTCTCAAAAACAGAAAGAAAAAAAAAAGAAAGATAATAAACATAGAATTATGATATGATCCAGAAATTCCACTTCTAGAATTCCAGCCAAAAGAATTGAAAGCAGGGACTCGACCAAATATTTGTACACCAATGTTCACAGCAGCATTACTCATAGTAGCCAAAAGGTAGAAACATCCCAAATGCGCACTGATGGGTGAATGGATAAATGAAATGTGGCACATAAATACAATAGATTACTATTCAGCCTTAAAAAGGAAGGAAATTCTGATACGTGCTTCAACGTGGATGAACCTTGAAAATGTGCCAAGTGAAATAAGCCGGATGCAAAAGGACAAACACTGTATGCTTCCCCTGACACGAGGTAGCCAGAGTAGTCAAATTCATGGGGACAGTGAGCAGACGTCTTGGAAGAGCTGGGAGGAGAGGGAATGGGGAGCTGTTGGTTAATGGGTATAGGGTTTCAGTGGATGATAAAAAACTTACAGAGATGGATAGTGTGATGTTTGCACAGCAATGTGCATGTACTTAATGCTACTGAATTGTACACTCAAAAAGGGTTAAAATGGTAAATTTTGTTATGTGTATTTGACCACAGTAAGAAACAAGCAAGCAAACACCAGCCTTGACAAGCACATCTACATACTGGAAGACAATTCTCCATGTGTCTCTTAGATTTCTGCTTACTTCGTGAGTAGAGACAGTCCACCTTTGTTCCAGACAATCTTTTCAAGGATTTTTATAGATGTTTTTTTGCTTCCTCAAGAGCAAAAAACATGTTTGCTGACTGTCTGGTATACCAAAGATGATGTCTTCCTCTGGGGCAAATGTCAGACAGGCTTATTGCCCGTTATAAAAGATGCAGGTTGCCTAAGTTCCAGGTTCCTTTCTTGTAAGGCAACCCATTACATATGCAGGTATTATCTGGCCCTCTTTGCATTGTCCTATGGGAACTGGGGGACCAGCACAAATGCTGATATTCTGGCCACTCCTATTGCTGTGAGGAACAAAGTTCTTTCTCTCTAGCCAGGAGTCTTACGTCTTCCTCCAGCATCTGTGAAACTGCAACAGGCTACCTTGTTAGCTCACAAGCGTGGGAAAATCACAGGCCGTTCACAGTTCTTGACACTCCTTGCATCAGAATCGCAGATGGGAGACATAGGAAACCTATATTTCTGACTATTCACTATGATGTGGTGGGCCAACGCAGGTGTGTGGGAACCTTGCCCTAGAGCTAAGCCCCTAAGAGTTGATTTCTTTGAAACTTTCCGCCTCTTGAAGGCTGATTCTCCCTTTTCACTCCAGCTGCCAGGAAACTCATAGTCCCAATTTCCTTGCTCTCCTACCTGAGGATCAATGTTAGCCTCAACCTTCTATGTAATACAATCAACCTTCTATATTCCTACTCCTGGTTTTTAAAGAATTAAGATGTAATTCACATACCTTAAAATTCAACCTTTGAAGTGCACAATTCAGTAGTTTTTAGTATATTCACAAGACTGTGCAAATATTGTCGCTACCTAATTTCAGAACATTTTCATTATCACACACAAAAATACCCTACACCCATTAGCAGTTACTTCTTCACTCCTCTTTCTCCCCTTCCCCCTACTAATCTCCCTTTTACATTTGTGAGTTTACCT